CGTCGGGAAGGCCCTCAGGTCACGGATGCTTTGAGGAATGTATCTGGCCAGGAAGTGAGGAGCATGAAACAGGTCGATTTCCTTTCTTGTTTCTTGTTGTGAGGTCCCTGTAGCGCCCTGCCAGCCAGGCAGGGCAGATTCCACGCTTCATTGAGTTCCAGACAAGTACTGTAGCATCCTGTATCGGACCGCAATCACAGCATAAGGGATGTTTTTTGTTTTTTTTTGTTTATCTGCTGTTGGTGGATAGAAGAGGGCCCTGACTGAACTGCATAGGGCCGAGTTTCAACTGCAATTGAAACTCGGGCTGAGTCTCAACTGCAATTCAAACTCGGGCCGAGTCTCAACTGCAATTGAAACTCAGGCCCTGACGAAACTGCTAAAACGCAGTTTCGAATGCAATTACAAACTGTTTTGGTGACTGCGCCGAAGTTACCCCAAAAAAAAATGATAAGGATGCTTTTCAGAACTCGAAATAGGAGTTGCAAAATTGCAGAGTATGGGCCTCTCCACACCACTCTTGAGAACTCACTTTCAATAGTCGATGCATCACCACACAGCCCCTTGAAACTTGGGGCAGTCGACAGCAGTCAGAGTGGCTCTTGAAACCCTTTTAAGAGCAGCTCTTGAAACAGGCGGCCGAAGGCTCAGTTATTCTAGTAAGATATGCCGAAGATTTCATTGTTCTTCACAAGGCTCGAAGAGTGGTTCAGGCCGCTCAAGGGTTCCTATGGCTTCAACCCATGGGCCTGCACTTTGTGGCTGATGAGACTCGCATAGTCACTACGGGAGAAGGATTGCTGGTTCTTTTTTTTTTTTTTTTTTTTTTTTTTAAGCCGAGGTTGTTTTAGAGGCTGGGTTACAGACATATGAGAGTCACCTTTGGAACTTGGCCATGTGGTAGAGGCCCCGAATCCTATGGGACTCCCTCCCAACCTACCGCTTTCGTAATTTCTCCCGGCGCACTCCTACTTCCACTATCCTACCTCAGTGTCTACCACACAGGATCGTCACCCTCGAGTCCAGCCTGGGGTTGACCGGACCGAACCATGGTTGTAGGTACCAGGGCTAAGCTGTGTCCCACACACCCCACCCAGCCCTGATCTAAGCGTGTTTGAGCGAGCCCTGCCGCGCAGATACTTCAGGTACTTCAGGTGCTAGGTACAGACTTTTCACTACGAGTCCCATAGGTGAACCTATTTTGCGTTTCTATTGTTGTGTACACAGCTGTTGTTACTGTTGTTTGTTGTAAGGTTGTTCACTGTGCACGTTGTTGTTATTACTACTCTTTTGTTGATAGTGAACCAAACATAAGAGGCAGGCAACCCAACCAATCCTGTAGAGAGCCCCACCGACACAAGATCCCTACCAGCACTGCCCTTAGACTGTACTAAGTCTCACTCTCATCAACTGTTCCTCGTTCCATGGGGGGTCTGTAGGGTCCTAGTTCAGACAGACATCGACCATGGCTTGTACTACTCATCAACCATTCCTGTTCCACGGGCGAGCTGTCCAAGGGGAGAAGAAGGCAGGCAACCCAACAAATCCTGCGGAGAGCCCCACGCACAGAAAAGCCCTACCAGCACTGCTTATAGACTGTACTAAGTCTCACTCGTTCCATGGGCGGTCTGTAGGGTCCTATTTCAGACAGACATAGACCGTAGATTGTACTGTGTCTCATTCTCATCAACCGTTCCATGCGCGAGCTGTCCTAAGGGGAGCCCTCATCCTAACCCCTTCCGTGCCGAGTGCCTGGACCCCCCAGATCTCCAGCTAGCAACGGGTCCCCCTAATCTAATCTTGCCCCAAGAAACCTACCAACACCTGCCACAGTCTCTACTAAGTCTCACTCTCAACAACCTTTCCTGAGTCTATGGGAGGTGTGTGTAGGTCTCTTGGTCCTGCATCCCACTACATAAGCAAGTTTGAACACATGACGTCATCCGTGCAGTCTACTATCGAACCTACTGAGCTACTATGGAAACTGAACGATTTGTGCGCAATTTCGGACAGGAAGGCAAATGAACATTCATTCCCAAGTATGCAAGCACGGGAAGACAAATGAACAATCATCCCCAAGTATGCAAGCACGCAAAGAACCACTAGAACCAAGAGCATCAGGTAAACATCCCACAGCCCAAACCCAAGATACAACTAACATGGACTAAGAACACTGGGTGGTGCGCAAGCAGTGTCTGAAATAGCTTACTTGCGTCAGCCCAGGGGAGTGCATGTCCAGCCATGCGTCATTCTAACGCCTGCCGGTGTCCATGCGCAAGGCTGCAGAGTTTTCAACCTGCAACCTCATACCACAATGCGCATTTCCAACCGGTGCTCTAACCACTGAGCTACATCAACTGGTCTACCACTCAGGATCGTCACCCTCCAGCCTGGGGGTGACCTGACCGAACCGCGGTGGTACCAAGGCTAAGCTGAGTCCCACACACCCTGGGTGGTGTGCAAGCAGTGTCTGAAATAGCTTACCTGCGTCAGCCCAGGGGAGTGCGTGTCCAGCCATGCGTCATTCTAACGTCCTGCTGGTGTCCATGAGCAAGGCTGCGGAGTTTTGAACCTGCAACCTCATACCACAACGCGCATTTCCGACCGGTGCTCTAACCACTGAGCTACATCAACTGGTCTACCACTCAGGATCGTCACCCTCCAGCCTGGGGGTGACCTGACCGAACCGTGGTTGTAGGTACCAAGGCTAAGCTGAGTCCCACACACCCCACTCAGCCCTGATAGAAGCATGTCTGTAATAGCTTACCTGTTTCAGCCCAGGGCAGTGTGTGTCCAGCCGTGCTTCATTCTAACGCCCTGCCGGTGTCCATGTGCAAGCCTGCAGAGTTTTGAACACGCAACCTCATACCACAATGCGCATTTCCAACCGGTGCTCTAACCACTGAGCTACACTGAGCTACATCAACTGGCACATGACGTTCTCCAGTCGGCAAAGGCTCGAAGAGCAGACGCTTCACGTCTGAAGTCCACGAGCTTGTCAGCAGAGTTGCTCCGTCCACGAATCACAGGACCCCATCCTGCAACTCGTGTGTTTCCATGCGTCCTTCACTGAACCGTTGAGGGACTTTCTATTTTCAAGAGTTTTCGGGCCGTTATCCTGACGCCATACAAGAAAAACAAGATGTACGACTGTCTTCTTGCATCCTTCGTTTTTTTTTCACGGTACCCGTTTCGAGAGTGCTGTGGATTGGCGATGGGCCCAAAACTCTCGAAAATGCAACTCTTGAAATCCTCTGCCAGCTCTTGAAACATTTCCCTGTTTCGGGCCTAGCCACACCACTCTTGGAAACTCATTTTCAAGAGTTTCTGCAGTGCCACACAGCTTCTTGAGACTTGGGGCAGTCAAGATCAGTCGGAGTGGCTCTTGAAACCCTTTCAAGAGCAGCTCTTGAATGATTGGAAACCCCTCTGGTGCGTTATCATTGGCCTACCCCTTGAGGGACTATCGATTTTCAAGGGTTGTCAGGCCATTATCCTGACTCCATACTAGAAAAACATCCTCTGTCCAATACCATCGCCCTTTCAAGAGTGCTGTGTGGCGAGGGGCCAAAAACTCATGAAAACCCAACTCTTGAGAACGTCTGAAAGCTCTTGAAAATTTCCCCGTTTCAAGAGTGGTGTGGCCAGGCCCAATATCTGATTTGTGGGCCATAGGGCCACAGAAAAAAAAAAAACAGCGGCCTAGCTCCGTTGGTAAGGCACGCAAGTGGCATTCAGGAGGTCTTGGGTTCAATCCCCATTGGCCTCATGTACCTTCCTGGGCATGCTTGGCGCCTGCCACCCCCCACTTGGCATCTGCTGATGTTCATAGGGGGTGGGGTAATAGGGCAGGCACACCGACTGGCCACTCAGATGATGCTCGGTCCCTCTGCTACCGGCTGTCCCCTGGCCGGTGTCCCCAATCGGGGGTTCCCTGAAGGCAATCAAGGCCACCCTGGGCTGAAAAGGCCACCCGATGTCAGATTAGACACAACACTGAGTTTACTCGGGCTGGTCAGTCCGATGATAATACCTCAAGGCCAAAAAAAAAAAAAACAAAAAAAAAAGGATAAAAAAGGAAGTGCACTTCGTGTCTGACATCTGGCGCTAGGCAATGGTAACCTGCTGAGCGTACAACTTCTGGGCGCTGTGCTACCGCCATCCGCCATCCGCCAAGATGTTGAATGCATCCGGACAGCAGGTCTGTAAAGATGGATTCAAACTGCTGGCCGAGGACGAGCAGTGCAACAAGGCCCTCAGGCCGATAGAAAACAACGCGGAGAAGTATAAAACGGCTCACCCATCTGGAACGGACTCACCGAGGTTGGTTTTGCCAGTCGATTCGCCGTAAGGTCTGCGGCTATTAGACCCCGAACTCGGCATATGTCGCGTAGGAAAGGTGCCGTGCTTGGTAGCATCAGGCGGGAGGTTTCATTGCATGCGTTAGGGGAGTGGAGGAGCAGTGGGAGCATCGTGAAGCGAAGCCGAGCGGAGCAAAGCCACGAAGGCTAAGGAGGGTGAAGTGGGAGGAAGACGAGAGAGACGAGGACTAGTAGAGCGAGGATCACGGCGATGGCTGCGTCGACGAGAGCGATGGCGGCCTTCCTCTTGGGCGCGGTCATTGTGCTTCTCGGTAGTACAGCACGGGCAGCAGCTCAGCCAGAGGCTGCAATCACGTCCTTCACATACATGGGCTCCGGATGTCCAGCGAATTCCGCCGTTGGGGAGATCAGCAAGGACGGGCAAGTACTTACCATGAAGTTCAGCGAGTTCAGCGCAACGACGGACGCAGGCATTGCGGGGAAACGGAGGAACTGCCAGATCAACATCAAGATGACGTATCCCTCTGGCTGGATTTATTCCCTGGAGACGGTCACGCTCCGGGGGTACGCGAGGCTTGACGACATGGTGAAGGGGGTCCACAGGGTGAGCTATTATTTCACGGGAGAGCCGGGGCAAGGAAAGTTCACCAAGGAGACGGTGGGCGAGTACGACGACAACTACGAGCATTCGGGTCCGTTCTCCCCACTTATCTCGAGCAAGTGCGGCCTGAACCGAAATCTCAACGTCAATATGGAGGTGAAAGTCGACAACGGAGCTAACCCGTCGGGGCAAGGATTCATCGATGTGGACACGGTAGACACCACCGTGTCCTTCAAGGTGAAATGGGAGGCGTGCTCCTGAGMKACGCATGCTGTCGAGACACGTGCAAAGCTTAGACAATCAAGGAGTCTGTTCGGGCCGCATGCTCTGCTTCAGCTCCGCTGAGCTTTCGACGGCGAACTCGGTGTTTTGGCTGTATTGTCAAAATTTGGGAGTAGAACTACGTTGTATGTACTAGCGCTCGTTTTTCACTCCATCCGACGGGGTTCGATCGTCGGACCTCTTGTTGTTTGAAATTACACTTATTCCGCCCAGGCGAACAAGCGTTACGTTGTCGCTTTGCTCTT